CATGGGAAAACCTCTGGTCTGCTTGCCTCCGAGCCTCAGTTTCTTCATTTGTAAAATGAAGTTAACTTTATTTACCCATGAAATTGTTGCAGTGCATACCTGAGGTAAAGCATGGGAGGTGTCTGTCTCGTAGTAATTTATTCTCAGGCACTCTTTTTCATGGGATCATTGTTTTAATAAACAGAAAGACATACCAGTGACTTCCAGGCTGATGTCTCCAGCCACAACCTCTTTACTAGACTCTAGACTCATACGTTCTATGTCTCCTAGGACCGTTCCATTTGACCCTCTCCAAGGCACCTCCAGTGCACACAAACAGGATGAAGTCATCATCTTTCCTCCCAGATCTGGTCCTTGTCTAACCTCCAGTTCAAGAACGGCAGCACTATTTCTTTGAACAAACCAGAAACCCAAACATCAATTTCTAATCTTCAATGACTTCATTCTACTTAAAATAGACTTAAAACATTTTGAATTTAGTCCCAGATCTCCTTTTATATAAAAGAAATGCAGAGATTATTTTTATGGAATCCAGGTTCTTCAATAAAGTGCTTTGTGTCTGAACCCGTTTAGCACCTGGAGTTAACAAATAAACACTATTCCCTGAACTGCTAACCTACAGGGAAGGAATCAGTGCATAGGCAAAGAGTCCTATGAAAAGAAGATGCTTGCCGTATATACATTGATGTGATTTTGTTTGTTTTAGCCTCCCTAAAAAGCTAGAGGAAAATTCAATAGATTTTAGTGGAAGAAAAAAGGAAAAAAGGAAGCAGAGTTAAAATACCATTTTCTTGCCTTCAAACACTCATTATATTTATTAAAGGAAATAAATATGACTCAAAATGTTTATTATTGCCTTTTAATTTTTATTAAATAACATCATTCACTATGTAGGCTGTTGGAGAATATGAAACCAGCTTGAGAAAATGTTCAATTATGTTTCTAACTTGGTTTTATTTCTCATATGAATATATGTCAGTGCTTACAATTGCTACTGATATCTGATTTAGGATTTCTGTTGGAATTCTAATACATTAATGCATTAAACTTAAAAAAAGCATTGTCTAGAATCACATAATTTAAGATTCAATCACAGCGTTGCACTTGAACCTCCTGGAGGCTGTAAGATTTACATTAACTTTTTTTTAAACTATTGCATAGAACCACTTAATTTAAGGTTCAAAGAAATATTTAGGATTGTTAAGTCCATCATCTTTATTTTTAAAAGAAACTGGGATAGAGTAAGGTTAAGACTTGTCCAAAGTTATCTAGATATTGGTAGAGCTAAATCTAAAATCTAGTCCTTGTGAATTTCTATCTAGTTCCTTTCCACTGGTACTGATATTCTTTACCTCTTCTATTTTAAACATTTTAAAAAAAAAACAAAAAACTTCTCTCACTAAAAGTTCACTGTGAAATTTTGTTTTCTGAAATCCTTTTGCATGTTTCATGACACTCTAGTAAAAATAGAAAAGAAGTTTGACATAAAACCAAGGGAAAGAATTGCTGCATCTTGACCATCTCTCCTTCCATATTTTTCTCTCTTCATTTTCCCCAAAAGTCCTCTACATAAACTGTTCTGAATCCTCTCTTGACCTTGTTTATTTCACCAGTTGCTACAAACTTACCATTAATCGTCTTTTGAATTTATTATCAAAATAACCTAAACTTATTATTCAAACATTTATATCCTCACTTGCCTAATTCTAAACATTAAACTTTCATTTAAAGTTGAACCCAATAAAATAACTATTTTTAAATCTCTTGGTAACTGGCTTCTAACCATCTTTTTCAAGGAGTTGAATTAATTATTAAAATAACAGATTATTTGCCTTAAGATTAAATGCTTGGTTTTAAAAGCCAATTTGTATGGGTAGACAGCCTGCTGTTCCCCGCATATTAAAATTCAGAGTACACAAAGTAGATTTCAGCCTTTTGGAGCTTCTTTGCAGATCCCACATGTTACAGTACCCTCAAAAGAAGTGTTTGCATATGAAAAATTCTTAGCAACCACATGTGAGTTACATTTCTTTCTATGTATCACAATGCAGCACAAGAGCTCTCAAACCAGTGGTGCTCTTTCCATCAGGAAGCATCATTTGTCAAACACTGATACATATAATGAGGTCAAATGCAAAATTTTTTAGGTCAAGTAGCATTCTTTCTTCCTCTACCACTTGTGTATAAACAAAACCAGGCAGTCGTATATCAAAGCAAGACTGAGAATACCAGTAGAAGTTCATCTAACATTTCTCTAAATGGCCTGGCAATTTGACCTCTCCACCTGCAAAGGAGCACTTCAGAACCACTGTTGACATCTGTTCTGGTTGGAGCCTCTGAGGGCCAATACTTTTGTCAAAACTGTTGGGAAGGGAAATTCTCTCTTGCTGTGATAACAATATAGTTTCTCTTAAGTGTGCAAACATAGAATTTGCATTGTTCTTAATTTATACAGTGATGTAATACTTATGAAAAACTTAAAATGAAATAAAATAGCCTGTTCTGTCATTGATCAGACATAGAACCCATAAAATATTATAGTGTTTAAATATAACTAATATAACCAAGCATCTTTCAATGCTCATTGGTTCTAAGTATCTCTCCCTATTTTTATTTTCTTAGGGAGATCGAGTCTGTAATCGCTTTAGCCTTTATATTGTAAAATCTAAAATAGATGGTCTTCTATACTGACCATCCTAAGCTGCCCATTGACAAAGTCAATTATTTCTTACAACTCCTCCACCCTTCTATTGTATGAAAGAATAACTAGGCTGACATTTGCCTCTGTGTTTTAATTTTTGGCTCCTTTTACCTGAATTTCTTTTTTCCAAGGTCTCCCAACCACTACAGCCAAAACCCAGGGCAAAAAAAAAAAAAAAAAAAAGAAAAAATGCATTAGACAAAGGGCTAGACAACATTGTGATCCCCACCACTGGCCTTTTAGAGATTCAGGTACAGTCATGTGTTCCAAGAGATTTCAACTCATGGCTGAGTTGCAATGAGAAGACTGTATCTATATTTCAGCACTTGCAACATCAGCAAGTCACATTTTCTTGGGTTTATCTTTTCTGCCTTGTATTGATTCTACCCTATTCCTAACATACCAATACCTGAAATTCTAAGAGATATCAGCCTTCCCTACTTTCCTTATGTATGTTTTAAAATTTTAAATGATATATCATGGTTGTATGTATTTTGGGGGTATGCGTTTTATTTTGATGCGTGTATCTAATATTTAATGATCAAATCAGGGTCACTAAGATATCAGTCACCTTGAACATTTATCTTTTCTTTGTATTGGAAACATTACAGTTCTTCTCTTCTAGCTATTTTGAAATGTACAAAAAATTACTCATGTGGTTTGGCTGGTGTCACATGCCCAAGCTTGACTAACCACAGCAATGAAACTGGAACCTACTGGAGGCTATAAGATTTACATTCCAGAACTTTGGTCAGACTAATTAGAATTATTAGAAAGGGAGGGTCTTCTTCCATCCATTGGACTTGAATCGAGGCAGACAGCCTGGAGCAGCTGGCTCCTGCAGCAGACACTGACAGTGTTGGCCTGCCCATGTTTCCTAAGCACTCTCCATTTCCATGCCAAGAGACCCAAAGGCTTCCAACTGTGAGCTACTGTGTCTCTTTGCCTAAGGGCTTTCTCTGGTCAAGGGAGCCCATTCACTTGCACATTCATGGGACAGGATGCAAGTGCCAGAGAATTAATGTTCCCAGAGCAGCTTCCTATTAGTAGCTGACTGGAGTTGGTGGATCAAAACCTTAGCTCCCTCTCTTTTTGGTTGACATATCTCTGAAGCGTAGATTTAAAATTGCCATGTCAATGTATTATTTGTTATTTACCTTTGGATGGATACAGGTGTGTGTGTGTGTGTGTGTGTGTGTGTACATATATATACATGTATACATATATTTGGGATTTTTTTTGAGATGAGGTCTTGCTCTGTCACTCAGGCTGGAGTGCAGCAGTGCAATCATAGCTCACTACAGCTTCAACCTCCCAGGCTCAAGCGATCCTCCCACCTCAGATGGGACCAGTAGCTGGGACCACAAGTGCATGCTACCATGCCCAGCTAATGTTTTTATTTGTAGATAGGAGGTCTTACTGTGTTGCCCACACTGGTCTCGAAATCCTGGGCTCAAGCAGTCCTCCACCTCAGCCTCCCAAGGTGCTGGGATTACAGGCATGAGCCACTGCACCTGGCCTTTTATTTGTTTTTGTATGAGTATATATTTACTTGTGTATGAGTATATACATAATATTCATACAAATGCACATACAATATGTATTATTTTATATTGCTGTTAATATCTCTGACTTGGGGAGAGGCATATTTTTTCAGTATCTTTCCTGGCTTGGTTATAGATTGCTATTCCAATTAGCTCAATCAAATCACCCAACATGTATAATATTTCTGAGCTAATAGTCGCTAATAGTCTACCAGTATTTAGCAGTACAGCAATATCATTTCTGTATCAGTCAGCACTCATTTCGTGGGTGTCTATCTGATTGGTCAATGTCCAGGCCATAATCCTTAAAGCTGGAGTTGACATCATAGCTCTGTACTCATAACCACTACCAAAACCATGTCCTTATCTCCCCATGGCTCTAGAATCTAGTCCCACATGTTCAAATTCCCACCTCCCCCAGCAAGTCCAAAGATAATCAAAACTGAGAGAAAGACATTCATTTTCTAGATAGGAAGGGAAAAAATGAACAGTAGAACTCTGAACTCTTTATACCTGCAACAGACTAAAGGCAGGATAAAGTTTTAGAGATATTAGCATGTTTGAGTTATCTTCTTCCTCATCTCACAAAGAGAGCTGGATCCTTGGTGTCTCTTTGCCTTAGGATTTTAGGACTAAAACAAAATCCTCTTGGGATCTCAGCTTCTCTTACCTGTGTAAATACTTGGGTCTATTAAATTTATTTATGTATAGGAGGGTTAGGAAACAAGAAGATAAGAGCCCAGAAGGTAATGGGTGCATAGTAGTGCATTTATTGACAAAGAAGTATAATAGAAGGATGCTCAGGCTCAAAAGTCCACAGTGGAATAGGACTGGTCAATGTGGGCAGTCTCTGGCCCTGTTTTCTGTCAGATACGCCTCCCAGATTCCATGTCACACACTAGTTTTTCTCAGCTGAAGAAACAAAGATTTAGACACATTAATCAGATTTCGGAAAATATGTATTTCTATTTAAAGTGTATGTTTTTCAAATAAGGAATATCTTTAGTTAGGTTACAAAATAGAGAAAATAAAGAAATGGATATTTTTTAGGCACTTGAATTTTGAGGTCAAAGAACCATACCTTCAATAGCCCTGTAGACTCAGCTCATCAAAGGCAGTAGATGTTCTCCTATAGCGGGAAACATCATCCCTGGAGCAAGGCCTTGTCATCCCATGAGGAATCCTAATGTCACTGTGTGTGGGAAGGGTTCCTTTGTATTTCCCACATTCAGGGCCTGGGGAAACTGTCTCATTGCTCAGTGGGAGGCTAAGGTCAAGGTCTGCTGGCTCAAGGTGATGTAATACCTTCCATGGCTTTTGACGAACAAAACCAGGTACAGCTTTCAACTCCCTGAGACTGAATGCTTTTTGTTGTGTTTGCAGATGCCTCAACCAGGATTCTAATCTATTTGAGAATTTTTGCCCTGTATGAATAACTCCCCAAAGGCTTTAAAAGAGAAAAATATGCACAGTCCAATGTAAAGATTTACGGGTTTCAGTAGAAAACAATCCAGTAGGGAGATTTAAAAAATTAGTTTGTATTCTAGGCAACACAACATGGAGTATTTGAGGCATTTAAGAATTTTAAATATGAAGGAGTTTGTTGAATGGGAAAACTATTCATTTGAAATAGCATGTCGGAGATTAGAACAGGTGGGGAAACTTACCTTCTTTTGTGAACTAAAGAAAATGGTGCAAAATTGAGTTTTGCTTTGCCCACACAGGAGCAGTAAGAAACCAAAGCTCTCGGCTTCATTTCTGCTAAAGAGCTCTGAATATGTAATGTTGCAGTCACTTCTACACATTCAATACGAGCCAGTATGCGTGTTTGTAAACAACTAAAAGACCCAGCTAATCTTGGGCAATACACAAATGAGCCATCTTTGCTAATGCCAGTCGCTTGCTAATAACTTTCTAAAATTGTTCTCTGGGACTAATTGAAACTATAAATCCTCATCACATTCAAATCCTAACCACTGTATACCATTAGCTCACTTCAGTTCTTAATCTTCTTCTTCTGGGGCACTTTCTTGATGTATCCTTCTTCCCCTAGGAGCAGCCACATTTATTATTGCTGTTCAAATATCTTGATATTCCTGTTGGAGAGCTGTATAACATCTCTCTAAGCATGTCAACACCAGGGTTGCTTAACAGGAATATCTACCTCAATCCCATTGGAGCAAGGTAAAAAAAAAAGCCAGTGAAATGTATTTTCACTTGTTTCATTATATATGCCTATAGATAACATGGGTCAAAAGAATATTTAAATTCTATTTTGTTAAGACAGGCTTCTTATCGTACATAGTAGAGCAGGTAGGAGGTTCTGGTTGCTTCTAGACAATTTGCCAGACAAGAAAAATGGCTTTACAGACCATCTGACAGCTTTATTCTTGTGGCTCTGGCAGAAAAATAGGCAAAAACGATTGCAGAGGCAGCTGAGTGGAATACAACACAAAAGTTCAGAAAAATATTAACTGGTTGTAAAGTGAGTGGGAGGAAGTAGTAAAGGAACTGGCATTTCAGTTATATAAAATCACTTATTACAACATTTTTATAGCCAAATTATGCTCCCTTTCTGTGCTGTATCTTTGGGTCTGTTGCCTGGAATAGATGGTAAAGAATCCTTCCATGGGGCACAAAATGTTTATATGGAAGAAGAAGCTATGAATCATTTTATGGCTGAATCATGCTCCTGATCCCAATGAAGACCCCTTGGTAGTTTTGGTCTGATTTATATCAGGCCCTGTGCTTTCATAGATCTGTTCTGGCCCCATTTACTTGCCTGAAAAGCCACTCCTGGGCCTTCTAATGGACACTTGTAATTAATGTGGAATATGCTCTGATACTTGTATGGAGACAAGTCCATCTGGGACCTTAGAATAGCTAGGACAACAGTGAAACCTGTAAGTGTCCTGTTCTTTGAAGCAGAAAAGACTGACTCAATATTTTCTTAGATGTCAGGGCACTTAGTAGAGTCATCCTCAGTTCATCCCTTTTGGCCAAACTCACTCATTAAACGCTAAAAAGATATCGTCGTTTCAACCTTCTTGTAAGAAGTAGTAAGAACTTGGGCATTACTTTAAGAAGCTCTTTGGTAGAAAAACTGGAGAAGACAGAGCATGCATCCTTTGCAGTAACATGTCCTGCAGTTTCAAGAGATAGTAAGATGTGCTTGGTCGTAGAAAGAAATTTGTAATTAAATAGTTGGGAAAACACTGGGTGAAATAGAGTTAAATAGGTTTTTCTACTGCAGGACATCCAAGCTGTTCTAATATCTTAACATGCATTGCAGATCTTCAAGGAATATACATATTTTTGATGCGTATTTTATAAGAGGACTCTTTGGCTTATGGAAACTTGCATGTGATCAGTGTTCCTTAGAAATTTTCTAAGAAACAATGCCCTTTTCATTCAGGACTGTATTAAACGAGGGAGACACGATGTTTCCCTAAATGTCAGGCAAATTTAAATACTTTCCTTTTCAAATATTCTAGAACTCCTCATACTAAATAATAATGATCTAATATCCCATTTTTTTGCATTTCAAATCCTAGATAATCTGGCCCCAGCCTATTTTTTCCCTTTGTAACCCATTACTTAGTTTACCTGTCTTCTCACACTGTGGCCAAACTTATTTCTTGTTGCTCTATGAATACTGTTGCTATCTCTTACCTCTATATCCTTCAGTACACAACCTTTCTCTTTGCTTCTACCTATTTAATACTTAACCACTTTTCCAGAATCATACAGAATGCTACCTTCATGAATCCTCCCCAAGTTCTGCTATTTGGAGTTAGTTTCTCCCATCACATTTCTTGTGGACCTCTGCTCTAGCTTATATAAACTTTCTGGTTTCCTAGTGGTTTGCTGACCTGTATGTGTTCTACTCAAATGTGAGTTTCTTGAGGGCAGGGACTGTGTCACTCATCTTTGGGGCCTATTACATCGTCAGAACAGACAGAATCTAGGCCAAGCTAAATCAAGTTACAGCAGCCCCTAGATCCCATTTCCACCTGGCCTTCTCTCCTAGCTGTCCTGCAATGTTTTTGAAATGACCAGGCCATAGGATGCTGGCAGGTTCTACCCTAGAACTGGTGTAAGGCCACCCTAGCAATTCTGAGTGTATAGTGCTATATTCTCATGTCTGTTTCATAGATCCATAATTAACAAGGTGCTCCTGGTTAACAGATTAGGTGCCCCAGACATGCCCAGCTTACCTGCAGAATTTCTCTAGATTTTCACCGTAAGACTGTACCTGTGAGGTTGCAGGGAGGCAGTTGAACTTACAAAAGGGCTATTGTAGCCCCTCTTTCTCCAACTACATTCCTGATGAGGGTGCTGTCTTCATGATCTTGCCTCACTCAGACTTTAAATCTCCCTCCCAGAGCCCTCATGATGCTTATGATATTTGGCTCAGACTTTTGTTTGCTGTAGCTTCATCATTGATGACTATCTTACCTCTAGGAGCTGCAATTTGAGAAGACAATTTTTACCTCTCCATTCAGTTTCTTTGCCTAGCTTCAGCTCTGAGAATCCTAGCCTGGGTTAGAGACCTGAGCCTTTCCACTTTATGAGAATAAACCTACACTTAGTTGCATTGTTCCAGGAAGCAAAAGAATACAGAGTTAAGAGTAAATAATAAGCTCTGGAGTTAAGCTGCCTGGGTTCATATCCTGGTTTCAACACTAAAGAGCTGTTAAGTTTGGTCAAATAACCTTTGTGATTTCAGTTTACTTAGCTATAAAGTAAAATGAGAGTAGTGCCTATTGCACAACATTTTTGTGAGAAGTAAAGGAAATAACATGGGTGAAGCACCTGGCAAAATGCCTGGCTTGTTGTAAGGGCTCAGAAATAGTAGCTCTTATTATTATTGGAAGAGCCAATTTAAATCCCAGGGATCACCTCAGCAGCATGGTTAATATCCCACGTGTCCTTCTTGTAAAATGGGTGTTCATTAGCTACTGCTGCATCACAAAGTAACACAACTTAGTAGCTTAGAGCAACCACATTTATGATCTCACAGTTTCTATGGGCCAGGAGTCTGGTGCCTAGCTGGGTCCCCTACAAGGCTGCTGTCAAGGTGTGAACCATGGTTTGTTTCTCATCTGGAGGCTCAGCTGGGGAGAGCCCACTTCCAACTCACTCAGGTTGTTGGCAAATTTCATTTTTTTTTGGCTGTGGGACTCATAGCAGCTAACTTTTTCTTCAAAGCTGACTATGGAGACAGAAAGAGAGAGACTTCAGCATAGGAAAAGCACAATGCGAACAAACATATCCCATTCCCTTTGTCACAGATTCTGCCTACACTAAAGGGGAGAGGATCACATGAAGGCATGAATACCAGGAGGTGGGCATCATGGGGTCATCTTCGTGTCTATCTGCCACCAGAGAGACGATAAAAAAAGAAACAAGCTCATGGGTTGTTGTGAGGATGAATTGAGTCAATGTTAGCAAAGCGTTTAAGATGGTGCCTGATGCATAGTAGGAGCTCAGTGAGGGTTTTCCATTATAATCAGGCCAATGAGTGGAGGAGAAAGCTGGGTTGGAATGAATGAATGAATGAAGCTGCTTTCAGGATTCATAACTGAGTAGATTCTTCCCAGGCTAGCTTTATGCAAGCCTAATTTCCCCAGTGGTTTTAGATTAGCGGCTGCAAGCTCTGCTGTGGGTGGTGTTGAATGTCAACCGTGGGTGGGTATTACTTGCATTAGTCATGTGTAACTAATTTAAAGTACACTGTGTTTTCAGGCAAGTGTCTGTAATTGCCATTTTTGCTAATTGTGAGAATGACTTGTTTGCCATCTTCCCTCACAACTATAGAAAAAAGAGTCAGGAATCGAGGAGTGCACTTGAATAAACTGGCCTCCTCCTAAGTGAGGTTCCCAGGTATTGGTTTGGTGTAACAGGCTGGCTTGTAGACAAAGTTCAGATACTCACAAAGCTTGGGTCAGTTCAAAATTATCCTGGCCAACCACAGATTCTCTGGTACACAAAGAGCACCACTCATGTATTTCCTCATTCAGCTTGGTATCTCTTCTGTTCCAGACTTTGTGCCAAATGTTCAGGAGAGAATGAGACAGAAGCCTAGACAAAAATCATGCTTGTGTATTTTTAAAATATGGCCCCCAATTTTTTTACACTCCTTGCATTGAGGGAAAGGGGGGCTCTGTGTCTCCTCTCTCTGAATCTGAGTTTTTGACTGGTGACCAGTAGAATATGGCAAAAATGTGTCAATTTCTAGTCTCAAGCCTTAGGAAACTTGCAACCTCTACTTTCCTTTTCTTGGGATGCTTACTCTTGAAATCCAGTGGAGAGGCCACCACGTGCAGATGAAATGATAGTCAAAACTCCCTACCAGCCTTGTGCAGGAGTCATCTCAGAGTGCAACCTCCAGCTCCAGTGGAGCTGAAGACACATGGAGCAGAGATGAGCTGTCCCCACCAACTCCTGCCCAAACTGCAGATTCATGTGCAAAATTAAGGTGGTGGTGGTTGTTTTAAGCCATTGCATTTTATGGGGATTTGTTAGGCAGCAATAAATAACCAGAACAATGCCTTTATAGTTTGGTAGAGGAGCTTACAATCTGGAAGGAGAGACAGATACTAATCAAAGACTAAAACTAGCAATTGTATATGTATAGGCTCTGCAGGATAGGGACATGGTTCTGTGAAGCCATAAGACAAAGGAGACTGACTTAGTCAATGTAGTCAGGGAGGGCTTCTCTGAGGAAGTAATGTTTGGGCTGAGATTGAACAGCTGGGAAGAAGTTAACTAGATAAAGGAGGAGCAAGAAACTGCTTGTGCAAAGATCTCATGGTGAGAAAGAGCACATATTTGGAGAAGTGAAAGAAGATCAGTATGGCTGCAGAGGAAAGGGAAAGAGTGACGTAAGATGCTGCATTTGAGACAGATGTCCAACTGAGCCCATCTCGCGCTAGGCAGTGCACTGCATTCTCCTGGGAGAATAAGGGGACACAGTGAGGCTCATAGGCATGTGTAGATGAGTGGGAGAGAAAGAGGTAAAGCTCGGCAGGGATTTGATGTCACCCGCCCATCTTACCTGTAAGTAAATAACCATGTTGCTGGGATGGGAGAAGGCTTAGTCTGTGCTGTGTTGCTATAACAGAATACCACAGACTGGGTAATTTACAAAGAACAGAGATTTGTTTCTTACAGTTCTAGAGGCTGGGAGGTCAAAGGTTGAGAGGCCTGTTAGAAAAGGCCTTCTTGCTGCATCATCCCATGGAGGATATAGATGGGCAAGAGAGTTTGAGGGGGCATAAGAGAAAGGGAGAGGCAAACACATCCTTTTATCAAGAACCCACTCTCTTAATAAATAACCCACTCCTAAGATAACAACATAATCCATTCTTGAAGGCGGGGCCCTCATGACCTAATCCCCTCTTATTAGGCCCCACCTCCCAACACTGTTGCATTGGGGATTAAGCTTCCAAAAAGTGAACTTTGAAGACACATTCAAACCAGAATGGGGGTCTTGATCCAGTAGGGTATTAAGTGCTTTCTGGAAGAAGAAAGACTGAAAAACATTCTCTTAACAGTTTTAACTCCCTTTCTAAACTGCATTTTTCAGCTGACCTAATTCAGTCTCAATGTCTGCAGGAGTTTTTAATAGATTCACAGGGGCTAGTGTTTCACAGACTGTTCTCTATTTTTACATCTTTACAGTGAAGAAATTATTCTTTATAGCTAAGCATACTTGCTGGAATTTTAGCCTGCGTTTTCTCCTCTTGCTTCTGTGTAGATGGAAAAATGTTGAGCAAAGGCCTTTATATGCATTTAGTTCATGCACATGAAGACAGTGGCTTCACTTCTCTTCTTTTGTCCAACTTTTTTGATTGTCTCTTCTTTTTCTAGCAGTATCTTCTGCTCCTAACCCTCAAATTCTTCCCTTCCTTCCTTTCCATGTCCATAGCATGTCCACATGACCTCAAACCTCAGCCTCAACTTCATTCAAGCAACAGATATTTTCAAACACTTCTTGAGGACAAGACCTAGGAATGGGAGAAGTAGGAATGAGGACTGGAATAATCTGACAAGTTCATTGGCTCTCAATTCTGACAGCATATTAGAATAAATGGGAGCTTTGAAACATGTTGAGATGTTGACCATATTTCCAGAGGTTCTGATGATTTTGTTGGTTTCTTACTATTAGAGTGGGAGGTTACAAATAAACAAGGGGAAGGGTCTAGAATGATCCATGTGGTAATCAATTAGACTCAGCAGCAGCAGTATGAATGTATGTTTAGCCTAGTATAGATATAGAGAGTTACATGTAGAAATACTTATATGTTTATAGCTGAGTTAGTAGATCTGTATATATCACCTTACTTTGTTTGTTGAGACAGCCTAAAAACAATGATACCTTAGTAACAGTGAGCACACCTAGGGCCCAAGTCTTGGTTTCTAATATGATTCTCCAGCAAAGGGAACCAGGGATCCTTGGAAAAATGGCTGACTTTAGAACTGAGGCAGAAAATACACAAGATAAGCCTGGAGCATGTTGTATTACCAAAAAATAAGGAAGTGCTAAAACACACACATACCCCCCACCTCCCACACACACACACCACAACACTGGGGGCATGTCACAGGGGCAGTGAAAAAGCCCCCAGTGGCCAAAGCTGAGAAAATTTCAGCAACAAAGTAAATAAAGTAGTATTGGATTATGACTCACAGTATAAAATAAACATCCATGAGTCCATACTAGTATATATAAATAATTGAATAGACAAATACATGTAGAGAAGCAAAACCTCCCCTGAGAAGAATTCCAAATAATTTATATGCATGCTGTGCCCTTAAAAAGGTGCAGTACCACTCCTCACTTCTTAAGTGTGAGCTATGCATAGTGACTTCCTTCCAAAGAGCATTTACAGTATGGATAGGGGAAAAATAGTAACTTTACATTGGAGAAAACTAACAAACAATAACTCACCCAGCCAGGTGACAAAGGTTAACAACAACAATGATTAAGACATGTTGAAAACATGCATCCTTGATATGATATGGTGAAAGTGGCCTATCATATGGTGAAAAATTATCTATGTAATCTTCCTCTTAAAAAAACAGTAACTCCAATCTAATCATGAGACAAATATCAGACAAATTCCGAATTGTATTAGTCTGTTTTCACACTGCTATAAAGAACTTCCCTGAGACTGATTAATTAATAAAGAGATTTAATTGACTCAGAGTGCTGTATGGCTGGGGAGGCCTCAGGAAACTTACAATCTTGGTGAAAGGTGAAAGGAAAGCAGGGCACCTTCTTCACAAGGCAGCAGGAGAAAAAGAGAGCAGGCAAAACCACCACTTACAAAACCATCGGCTGTCATGAGAACTCACTATCGCATAACAGTATGGGGGAAACTGTCCCCACGATCCAATCACCTCCCATCAGGTCCCTTTCTCCATATATGGGGATTACAATTTGAGATGAGATTTGGGTGGGGACACAGAGTCAAACCATATCACCCATTGAGAAACACTCTGCAAAATACCTCACAAGTACTCCTTAAATTTAGCAAGGTTATCAAACACAAGAGAAGTCTAAGAAATTGTCACAACCTAGAGGAGCCTAAGAAGATATGACAACTAAATGCAATGTGGCATCCTGGATGGGATCCTGGAACAGAAAAAGGGCATTAGAGGAAAAACTAAGAAGATCTAAATAAAGGATGGGAATTAGTTCATAGTAATGTATTGATATTAGTTCATTAATTGTGACAAATGTGCTCTATTAACATAGATGGTAATAGAGGAAACTGGGTATGAAGTATATAGGAAATCTCTGTTCTGTCTGCTCAATTTTTTCTGTATATCTAAAAGTATTCTATGTTTATGTTTATTTAAAAATTAGAAGTATCTTTCATCATATTTAGATTACCTCTATGTTATTTGTCTTCTGGCCGACTAACTAGA